CAAACCTTTTTAGAAACACAAAGCCCATGTTGCACAAACCCCAAAACTTCAAAAACATAGAACCATATAAGAATCCCTCCTCTTATCCAGTTTGTTGTTCAGCTGACCCAGAAACAAACTGCTGAATGTCACTTCGCTTCTGCAAGTAAAAACCTCCTTCCAGCAGCTGCTTCCTGGCTTATCAATTTAAAGTGACGGCATCTTGTCCCCCCCCCTTCTTCTTCTTCTTTGCCAAGCAATCTCCTGGCTGAGAAGCGAGCCCTGATTTTTTCCTTCTAGCCGATCATCTGGGAGACTGGGAGGCAGTGAATAGATTGGGGGCGGGGCCAGGCAGAGGTGGTATTTACCGTTTCTCTGAACTACTCAAAATTTCCACTACTGGTTCGCAAGAACTGGTCAGAACTGGCTGAAACCCACCTCTGGTTTCAATATTCCAAAACATGACCCTGGACTATTGATATTCAATTGATACTTTGGGGTGAGGTCTTGTTAAAACTGGATTAACGTTGCTGCTGTGGCAACTTTTTGCTATGCAGCATGTTTGACAAACAATGGATAACTTGGGGAAAAACATTGACCTGTTCTAATCATCCCCCAAACTTTTAGTTTTGTTTTTTGTTTCCAGTTATTGAAAGCAAAGTATCCCACAGCCTTTTCAGCTGGTACTTACCGTAGAAGGTAGTGTCAATTTCTTTACCTTTAGTTCATTCTAGCTAGTTGATAGCATAATCATGCTATGTAGATAACAAGAAATAACTACTTGATAGCCATAACAAAGTTAATTGAGAATGGAACCAATGATGCTCACTACAGTAAGCATTGCGTTCTTGGTGTCATCACTTTGCCAACTGTGTTTTATGGCTTTACTGATTTTCTGGAACCTGAAAACTGATGCCAATAATATTGAACCAGAGGGGGTACCTTTTCTGAACTGAAATAAGGCAGCTTTGTTATCCTAAATGGCTAATTCATTGAGCAAAGTTATAAAGATGGAAAGATAGAGACAACCTGTTGTCTAACTTCTATTTAACTTTTCATTCTTCCATCTTCAAGTTCATCCTAATCCATTTTGCATCAGTTTGCCATTTATTAGTTTTGAAGTACAGTAGTCTGTGTGAAATTTTGTCAGACTTTCATTGTACTTCTTCTATTACTTCTACAGCATATGCACATATCTGCAAGCTATTTTTCTTAATGCAATTTTGCTATATATATTCTGTGAATATTTTTATAGCTTCTTAGAAAATCAAGTTGCATCACAAAAGAATAATTCAAACATAGATGTGTCTGGAAACATATGAGCTTGCTAAATTTGCATTAACTTGTGAAATGTATTAATTTATTAAACAAATTTATGTGGCTGCCCAACTCACACATGGTGACCCCGGGCAATAGACATGGAATGGAATAAATTGTCTTCATTGGATTAATACATGAGAGAAAGAAGTTGTGAATGCTCTAGATCAAATCATTAAAGAGAAACCTACCCAACCCAACTTTTTCTAATATACTAGCTGAATGGGTCTTGAGACAGAAATCTCTTATGACACAACATGGGGACTATTGGCACTGATGTTGGGTCTTTCCTTCATGCTGAGTTGAAGTGCTGCCCACCCATATAAAGCAATCTGAAATCTTTATCCTGTCTTTATCCTGTCTCCACAGCCTTCAGAGCCAGGAAGAGAATGGATTCATTAGCATTATTTTTATTTAAGATTTCTCTCCTCTACTTCCCTTTCTTCATATAGGTAAAAAATATCACTTTCTCAATTACTCATGTTATGTTTGCAAGGCATCTGGGAAAGGACTGGTCTCATCATAACTTCATTGTACTACTTCAGTCTTGCCATAAAGACCGCCTATGTACAGTTTGCCAGTACAGCCGTCTAATGCAATTTTGGCAAGTGTTTCAGTTTCCATTTGCTATTGATGGTTTCTCCCTGAACGGGGTGGATATAAACTGGAGGCATCTATAGATCTTGTACTCAACAGAGTTAAGGCAGGGAACTGTTTGCTCGCAGCTAGAATACGTTTGCCTGAGGGAATCAAAAGACGCTTCTGTCCTAAAAATATACAGCTCTGACATTCTTGCATGAACACAATGGATCATCAGCACAATACTGCCCCCATCTCTGGATTATTACTGCAACAATGGCAGAATAGTAGTATCAGATGAAGCAGACTGGAAAGTAGAAAAGACAGGGTGCTGAAATGTCCCCTAAATTCCATTCTGACACCAGGTACTAAGGTCACTTGATTTTGCCTCCAAAGTACAGGGTGATGAAGATTTTATAAATATTATTTATAAATAAGATTTTATAAATCTTCCAACTGCCATTGGATACTATCAGTTTAAGGGAGAAAACACTACTATAATGCAAGTATAGCTAAGGATGATGTGTCTTGTTTCATTCATGAACTGAAGAGAAGATGAAGCCAATGTCAAGGGCCTTAGTAGAAAAAAAAAGTTTGCATTGCACTTGATGAAATTGGGGAAAAGCACAGAGTTGCTTGGCATACCTTGAAAATGAACTTCTTGTGGAGAGCATGAGACAATTTAACTTGAAAGAAAAGGTTCAATTGCCTGTGCAAAGCAAGCATACAGAAGTTTGAATTTGAAAAGACTGCCTTAAAAATGTCAAGCATATTGCACAAGCATTTAAATTGGTAAAGTTTTAGCCCATCAGAGACCCCACATACTTTGTCTTTGGGTCTTTGCTGTTTCCTTTTAAATCAGTTTTAGCAGAGGCTATTGCAAAGTTAAAGAATAGACCCTTCCCTCCCAAAAGCCCCACAACCACCAAGCATTTGGCAGAAGAGATGTACCATTTATAGCCAACCAAGCGCGGAGCACAAGAGCACATGAATTTTCTCTCCCTCACCCCAGGTGCTTTGTGCTTTAGCTTGAAAACATGAAAAAAAGATGTCCGGAACAATACATTTCTGTAGTTTTAACACAAAACATGATTCTTTCTCTGATGATGTGCAATGTGAATCTTTTCTGACAACCTAGCAAACAAATGAAAAACCAAATTGCTAAGAGCAGGTACCTTGCAATCATAAAAAGAAAAAAGTTGCTGAGGTGTTCAGTGCAATCTTTTCCATTTTTAAACCTTGAATTTGGGCAATGCTGGGCAAAATCCAGAGGAGGTTAAAGGGATATAAGTCAGCTTAACCTTCCCATGTATCTGTGGGATCCACAGCTCTGTATTCTCCTTGAACAGAGATACAAAGTTCAAGGAGAGGTACTAATTAAGATGTCACTATTAGAGAGTATTTTTTTACAACCAGCACTTAAAAGAAGAGGATTTTATGTCTGATTTCTATGTTTTCAGGAGCCCTCTTCCTCTACCTGGATCCTGGTAATATCAGTTAAGAACGAATATAGGCAGCAGATAAATAATAAGATTGCATCCTGCACTGTTATTCTAATACAAAGTGAAAATGCCTCTCTTGCCAGGGTTATTTTTCAGATGTAATTGCTGAAAGATTTACTAGGGGTGTGGGAGAGAAGACAGAATTGAAATGCTATAGTTTCTGCTACCTTGAATTTGGCAGAAAACAACAGAAAGATACTTTGTAGAGACTGCCTGTTGTATTCCTTATTGCATGCACATACCCCAAACACCTTGAAATCATCATTCTCAGGGGCAATTTAGGGATAGCAAAAACCCATCCCACTTCCAGAAAGTCTCTTCAAAATGGCCCTCAGAGTAATACCACAGTGTGACATTTTGAGACATAACTGACAGTGAGAAGAGAAAAAAAAATCTCTTATTTACCTCAGGGCTTTGGAGAGCTCAGGACCAATGCTGATTAGTTTTTTTCTTGGCTCCTTGTTTTCAGGGTTTTGAGAAAGCCAGAAGCAAGGATGATAGTGGCCCATGTTCAGAATGCTTTTGAGACCTTGAGGAGCGAAAATAGTGGTGTTGTGGAGATACCTTATCTTATCTTGTCACTCCTATCTTGTCTTAAATACAGTAATGAACCTGAAATAATAATGTTAGGATTTGGATACTGTAACAGGTAGCAACAAATAATATTTAAGGCAAAGTAGTCTGGTATAACCTTCCTCCCAAAAAAACTTAGGAAAATGTGTGCCATTAGTTCTTCTATTTCAACATTTGTTTCATCCCACTTCATGTCTCTCTATATAACAAGATAATTTTCCAGTTTATTCTACTGATTATGTCACTTAAGAAGCAAAATGCAGTCATGCATAACAGCCAGATATAACCTTTTCGTCAAATGCTTCTGATACTCACCCATGTCAGAATCATTTATAGTTGGCATAACAGTTAACAAGTTTTTCTATATTAATGATGAAATAGTACTGAAATAAATCTGCACCTGTCATTCATTCTAGCTCTCAGATGATTGTCAAAAGTTTTAATTTGGCACACTATTAGGAACTAAGGAGCCATGATTTCCACGTGTTTTGCTACGGGTATCTGGGCTCTAAGTCTTTAGAATAATGATTTCCTGGGGGCTTTCCCCATATAGCTACTGGCAAATTGATGCTATGGAAATCTACATGCTTTAATGGATACATCCAAGGTAATTCCTGCAATAAAAAGCTTTTGTTGATGCAACCAGAAAAAAATCAGGACTAGGAGATCCAGAGACCCAGAAACAAAGTGTTGTGGCTCCATTACCTGAGCCTGTGTCATTGGCAGAAGAGGACTCCGAGAGTGAAGGAGAGGAGTTGGCAAGGCCTCCCTCTCCAGGACCCTCCTCTTTGGCAATGCCTTCAATGTCCACCGAAGGGCAAGAGATAGGGCCGGGGCCAAGCACGTCCACGCAGCCACAGGTGGACAGTGATGAGAGTAATGAGTCTTGGCTGGATCCACGCCAGCGTCACAGAGATAAGCGCGCAACAGAAGAGGAGGCATGCCAGAGATTAGGCTGAGTCACTGGACCACACCCCACAGGGTATAAAAGGGAGCGTCAAGCCTTGTGACGAACAAAGCTGAAAGCTTCCACGCCATTCTGCATTGCTGGACTTTTGCTATAGAGTTTGCTGGATTATATTTGGACTTGATTTACTCTGTAATTATTGAACATTTTATTTTGATGTACCAGAAGCGGAGAGACGTTATCTCTTTGTGAGTAATAAACTCTTGGCAGGCAGCCACTAGGTTGTTGCCAAGTTCCGTTATCATAAGGAAAAGGATTTTGTCGGCTGGTTTGGTTTTTAACTCTTGGACGTCTGTTGGTGTGTGTGCGTGTGGGACGGGGACAGAACACAAAGCCTCTATGTTCAGATCCTCTCCTATGTCATCATGTTTTCTAGGTAATCAATTACTCCTAGTTGTTATATATGACATTTTGTAATTGTATGGTGCAAATCTATAAACACGGAATGTCCCAAATTAGCTGCCCATAATTATAGTGTAGCTGCTTTATAAAGTTTGGGTGTTTCATTAAGGAATGGAAGAAAGAAAGAAAAAAAAAACAGCCTCTCAGTGGATCCCTAAGGGATCCTTGAGGCAATTAGCTTTAAGCTGAAAAACATATTTCCAATTTTATAGCCTATTTTCTAAGCTCAAAATAAATTTCTACCCAATAAACCTTAGTATCATCCAAACATAACTGCAGCAATCTGTTAATTAATAGCAAGAGACCAACTGGCAGGAAAACTTTATTAAAAGCAATGCATATAGCATCCTTTACATTAGTGAATTTGTGACCCCTTTTTCTTGAAAGCTTTCTGGGTGGCTTACAGTACTCTAAAAAACAATACCTTAGGAGTAATTTTAATGTTACAGATATATTAATGTGAATATACAGTATGTACCATAGTGGTTAGGACAGCAATCATCTGTTTAGTAATTCCAAAATTTGCTGTGTATTATGAGAATGAAATAAATACTTTTAATTAAAGGTTCTCATGAGCCAAAACATCTCAGCCAAACATTATGGAAATTAGGGCATGCTTAGGAGGTCTAGAGAACCCTGCCCCCTTGCCCAGGCTGTATGTATTCTCATTACTGTGGAGGGAAATGATACTTGTAGATCATACTTGAAGGTATTTATGGCAAGGTATATCCATGCATTCCTGTTGAAATCCATTGCTCAACACGTGCTAGTTAGAAGTAGTGCATATTTCTATTCTATTAATTTCCTGGGTGAAGCTCATCTCAAGCATACAATGAATGTGCCTGTGCACTTAAACCAGGATATCTACTATGAAAAGTATAAGCATTTGTGTTTCTCTCTGCAAAATACTCTCTAATGAATTATCAGTTTGACATAATGGTAAAGATAGCAGGGAGGAACAAGTGAAAAGAAAAATGAGCTCTATAATAATTAGGAATAATAATCCCAGAAACCAGTGCTGCTGGTGGGAATTACAGGCCCCCAAATACAAGGGAATCAGTGTTTAGTTCACAAATACTGCATGGATTTTTTTTCTAAAATATTTATTTCGCATTGTGGCACCTGCAAAAAAAAAAATCTTAGTTTACTTTTAGAAAAGATTAGGAACTACAGGTAGTCCTTGACTTGTACACAAAATTTGGACAGGAATTTTCATTGCTAAGCAAAGGGGTCATAACATGACTCCATCACTTAGCAACCACAATCCTGGCACTCCCAATTGCGGTTGTTAAGTGAGAATCATGGATTGTTAAGTGGAGATAGTCACAGTTAAGAAATGCAGGGGTACTGCGGGTGCGTGTGTGTGAGATGCTGCTATGCAGAGTGGCCAAAAGGGCATAGATTGAGAGAGGGGGAGATAGATGAAGGGAGTTGCAGCACCCCTGTAGTTGTAAGTGTAGGTTGGTTGCCAAGCAACCAAATTTTGATCACAGACTGCGAGGTGGGATGCTGCAATAGCTATAATTTTGGGCATGTATCATGAGTCCATTATTTCAGCACTGTCATAATTTTGAATGAACAAATGATCATAAGTCAAGGACTACTTGTGCTTACATATAACTTTCTAAATAAATTTTACAAAATAGAAGCAATTTTCAGTCAGGTATATAATCCAATCAGCATTTTGGAATTCTGCCATCTTTGATAGAAAGTAAAGGACATTTCAAGTAAGCCTTTTGATTTGTACAGAAGAATAAGACCTCCTTATGTATCTTACTCTGTTGTGTAATGAGGCACATTAAAAAACAACAACCCATGGAGGTCATTTCTAGTTTTACAGTGAAGAAAGTCTCAGTAAAACATGGTTAGAGATAATTTATTTATACATAACTGCATATCTTTCTGTGAATATTTCTTGTGAAATGTGTCTGAAAAATATTCCTTTCTTCTTTTGGAATAAAAAGAGAATGATCTCTACTAGATAAAATTTACAAATCATTCCAATTTTTAGTTAAGAATATATAGATCATTGCTTCTATGCTAATTGCCAGTGTTTGAGGAAAAAGTAAAAGAAATGTCTATAACACAGATGTCAAACTCGATCATGTCACGTGACATATCGTGAAGTATCGTAACATTTTTTGCCTTTGCAGAACTGAGGTGGGTTCGGCTGCGCATGATGCATCTGGCCTGTGGGCTGCCAGTTTGACACCCCTGGTCTATAAGGTAAGGCCTATAAGGTTCATAAAAAAAACTACAGGTGGAAACTATAATAGTTTTACCTATATGAATTGGCAAGAGAGATTGATTTTTGGGAGTTGTTATGATTTGATAAATAAAAATATCAGAAAAGTACAGGTAGCTGAGAATTATGGTCCTAAGTTGTTAGGGTTGTTAAAAATCCTATTTTTTTGCAGTGGTGGTTAACCGAATGTCATGGTTGCTAAGCAAATACTCTGGTCATCAAGCAAATACCATGGTCATTAAGCAATCCATTGCACGTAATGGGAATTTTTTGCTTGAAACTGGAAGTGAAAGCCAGAAACTGCCCAAAAAACATTGCAAATCATGGTCACATGATTTTGGAACCATAGAAAAAGCCAATAAGCTGGTTGCCAAATGCCCAAAACGAGATCACAAACATGTGTTTGTAGCCATTGGAACTTCAAAATCAGCTTGTATGAGCCTTTGGGGGGAGGGCATAATAAATGAACAGTTGCTAAGCAACTGGTCATTAAATGAGGACAATTTGCAAATTAATTGCTGAAAGCATTCAGCGTGGTGAATGGGAAAAGCATATGTGAAAATGAAGGGAATGTTTAGCTAATAGTTTGAAGCAGAGCAGGATGTGTGATGTCTGCCCCTTTCATCATTTAAGAAATTCTCATGGTGCCATTAGAAGCCTTCAGGTGTGTGAACTTTTGAGTGCAAGTTTTCAATGAATGCTGAATAGACTGAATGATGCAGTGAGGAATCTAGTTTTGAAAATTCAATATTGAAGTCAAAGGTAATTGTGTTTGATAAAAACAATGGAATGAATGTTTGCAGATTATTAAAAAAAGTAAACAAATTGAATGGAGAAATATAAAGATATTCAAATGGCTGGCAGAAAGGCAGTGGATAGTTTGTAATCTATGGTAAGGGCTGAATGTTGTTGCTATGATGATGATGATGATGATGATGATGATGATGATGATGACGACAGTATACATAGCAAACGAGATGACCATGCTGGATTTCGTATCCCAAATCACTAGTCGAACACTTCCCAAGCGTTTAGGACTGCATGATATATCGGCGGATTGTGCGAGCAGATTCCAGTAAGGTGGCCTTCTGCAGCTGACCAATGGGGATCTTGTCAGCGCCAATTGTTTTTAAGTGCTTGCCTAAGTCTTTAGCCACAGCACCCAGTGTGCCGAATACCACTGGAACCACCTGCACTGGTTTATGCCAGAGTCTCTGCAGTTCGATTCTCAAGTCCTGATATCTGGTGACTTTTTCAAGTTGTTTCTCATCAATTCTGCTATCACCAGATATGGCAATGTCGACGATCCACACTTTTTCCTTCTCCACAATCGTGATATCCGGGGTATTGTGTTCCAAAACCTTGTCAGTCTGTATTTGGAAGTCCCACAGTAGTTTTGCATGCTCATTTTCGACCACTTTTTCAGGTTTATGATCCCACCAGTTCTTTGCTACAGGCAGATGATAGTTGTGACACAAGTTCCAGTGGACCATCTGAGCGACTGTGTTATGATGTTGTTTGTAATCAGTCTGAGCTATTGTCTTGCAACTGCTCAGTGTATGATCAATGGTTTCATCCGCTTCTCTGCAGAGTCTGCATTTAGGGTCATCAGCAGATTTTTCTATTCTGGCTTTGATTACATTCGTTCTGATGGCTTGTTCCTGAGTTGCAAGAATCAAGCCTTCTGTCTCTTTCTTTAGTGTTCCGTTGGTCAGCCATAACCAGGTCTTTTCCTTATCTACTTTTCCCTGGATCTTCTCAAGGAACTCTCCATGCAGTGCTTTGTTACACCAGCTGTCAGCCCGAGTTTGCATCACTGTTTTCCTATATTGAGTCTTGGTTTGCTGCACTTTAAGCAGCTTCCTCTTGTTGATCTCCAGCAGAGCTGGTTCAACACTGTCTTTCACATAATCTGCCAGAGCATGCTTCTCTTCTTCGACTGTCTGCTTCACTTGCAGAAGTCCTCTGCCACCTGCTTTTCTGGGCAAATATAGCCTGTCAACATCACTACGTGGGTGCAGTGCATAGTGTATGGTCATCAGTTTTCTTGTTTTCTTATCCAGGCTGTCCAACTCTGCCTGTGTCCAGTTTACGATCCCAGCAGTATATCTGATGATGGGTATGGCCCAGGTATTTATAGCCTTGATAGTGTCACCGCCATTCAGTTTGCTTTTTAGAAATTTCCTGACCCTTTGCGTGTATTCTTTGCTGACCACATTTTTCACTTGCCTGTGCTTGATATTGTCCAACTGCAGTATGCCCAGGTATTTGTAGGCTACAGGTTGGTTGCACTCGATGGTTTGTCCATTGGGCATTTCAATTCCATCACTTTCTACGATCTTCCCATTCTTCAGTGCCACTGTGGTGCATTTGTCCAGGCCAAACTCCATGCTAATGTCAGTGCTGAAAATTCGAACTGTATTGGTCAGTGACTGGATGATGATGATGATGATGATGATGATGATGATGATGATGATGATTTACATATTTATATAGCTGGTCAACTCAAGGGAGTGAACGTACCTAATATTCCTGCCTCCTATTTTCCCCATAACAACCCCTGTGAGGTGGATTAACCTAAGAAAGAGAGTGACTGGCTTTCATGCCTAAAGCAGGACTAGAACTCACAGTCTCCTGGTTTCTAGGCCAGCACTTTCACCACTACACTGAGATTATATCTATAACATTGAACCTTACAACTATTCATTCAGGGACCATTCAAAGTTACAATGGCACTGAAAAAAAGTGACTTACAACCAGTCCTTATACTTAGGACCATTGCAGCATTCCCATGGTCATGTGATTCAAATTAGGACAAATTGGGAACAAGTTGTTTTCGACAGTTCTGATGTCCCAGAGTCATGTGATCATCATTTATGACCTTCCCAGCTGGCTTTTAACAAGCAAAGTCAGTGGGGGAAGTCATATTTGCTCAACACTCACATAATTCACTTAACAATGGCAGTGATTCATTTAACAGTTATAGGGAAAAAGTCATAAAATCAGGTGCAACTCACTTAATAACTGTCTTGTTTAGCACTGGAAATTCTGGACATAAGCCAAGGACTACCTGCAGGCAAACCTACTCTGCTCAGAACTCATGAATAATTAAAGACATGACAAGAAATACTAAGCAAAGCTGGAATGTACCTACAAATTGCTGAAAGAATAATGATCTTGAAAACAAGAGAGGGACATTAAAAAAAATGACCAAATTTGAAATCGTTATATAGAATTAAGACCAACTATTAGGCTATGTATGTATAAATTTCTACTTAGATGTGATACAGAGATTGAACAAACAAAAACATCTGAGATAAATTGAATGCAACGCTTCGAAGAACCTATCCCAATACATGTATCTTAGTTCCATCAATAATTGCCTAAATAGACAAATCATGCAGTAATAAATGTTGGAAACATTTCCTTTCACATGCGGTGGGTATGTAAAAACACCCAAATGAGGTCCAGTACTCAGCCCCATTCAGAGAATATTAGGAATCAAATTCAAAATGTTGCCATATTTTTAACTAGGTATTATTCCAGAATGTATTAATAAAAATACAATAGTTATTTAAGATACATGCTTATGACTACAAGGACAAACTGTGCACTATATTGTAAAAAAAACATATCAGGGAAATTAAATTTGGGAGAATATGGAGCAATTGCAAAACTAGCAGTATCAGTATTATCTATCTATCTATCTATCTATCTATCTATCTATCTATCTATCTATCTATCTATCTATCTATCTAATTTATACAGTCATGCATCTCAAACAACCTGACTCTGGGCAGCATCCAATAAAAATACATCACAAAAACCAAGAATTAAAAAAACATTCTACAATTGAAAACACCAGTCAAAATTACCAATCACTGAGACACAGAAAGAGCTATCATGATAGGCAATACAGACATCTCACTATTTCCTTTTGTTTTCCAAGCCTGATGACACAACCATGTTTTAAGAGACTTCTGGAGACAAGCTCAGTCTCCCCTCAGGGGGAGATGATGTTTCACAGCCCAGAAGCCAGGAATCACAGCAGAAAAAGTAATGCCAGTTGTAATTCCTTTGCAGATGGGACCCATCCCATAGGATACCTCTTTTTCCAGACGTAGTGGGTGTCAGGCCTGGAAGCCATCTTTTGCATTGGGCTTCAGGCCTGCCACATTTAGTACTGTGGGAAACTGGGAGGGGGGATTGTATGGAGCAGGGGAGATATGTAGTCAAAATAACATTCCTTTCTCAGAGAGTCAAGGACATCTTGCCCTGTACCTAGAGGGGTGGACTGGGAGACATCTTCAGATGGGACAGTGCTTTGATTGGAACAGGTGATGGACATGTGGGTGCTGGATAGGGACTTGGACTTTCCTTTGGATGGGGAAAACCTGGAAGCTTTCAGATTCGGGTTTCCCCAGATGTGCCAATGACATCTCGAATAAAATGGAACTTTGAGGAACTTCAAGCCTCGGAGTCTTCTTTCATTTGGGGTGTTACTTGGAACCCTAACAGTGGGATGGGCAGATATAATTGGGTGGAGGCTGTTCCTCAAATAACCCAGCCTCATGCCTTGAAGGGCTTTAAAGGTCAAAACCAACACATGGAATTGAACTTAGAAGCAAACTGGCAACCAATGCAGCTCACAGAGCAAAGATCTAAAATATGCCATTCTAGAGGACTGTGCCACCACACAGGAGGATAGACTAGAGCAATGCTTCTACCTGGGGCTGCTCTTGAAGAGTATTTGGAAGCTTCACCTGGTACAAAATGTGGTGGTACAGTTCTCTAGAATGGCATATTTTAGATCTTGCTCTGTTATGCTCTGATCAGGAGCAGATCCGAGCATGACTGATTGTAAAGAGAGCCTCCTGAGCCATAATGGGTGCAACTATTGCACAAGAGAAAGCTACACAAAGGCCTCCAAGCCATGACCTTCACCTGGTCTTCAAGCAGGACTTATGAGTTCAGGAGGACC